CACTACTGTTACCTCACCTTTCAAACAAAAATGCTGAAGTAAGCAGGTAAATTCAAAATCCCAAAACAAAAAAGGGAAAATAAAAGCAAAAATAAAGATCAAATCCTTGTTAATCCTCTTTTCTTTTTTTTTTTTGGAAATAAGCAAGTATGCAATGCTTAAAAACCAAAAAGAAAAGGAAAATAAAGACCAAAAAAATTAAAAACTTTGTTGATCCTCCTCTTCTTCTTCTTCTTCTTTTTTTTTATTGCAAAGAAATATGGACCATATGTTACTTGAGTACACACATTTGGTAGTTAAACTTTTGAACAATATTATCAGTTTTAATGTCCAACCATGCAACATTTCGCCATAGAACCAAAAAATGATCAGAAGTAAATTTTTAAGCAAGAAAATGAAGTTCTTGAAATTACCTGTAAGGGACTAAGATGTGCATTGAAGAAATCTTGAGGCATACGATAACTTTGGTTCAACTCAGCACACATGCTAGAAGAGCTAAGGCAACTTCTTATTCTGTCCATTTATAAGAGCTTTGAACTCTTCTTCGAAGCCATCCGGAGAAGTCATCAAGATGATATTCCAAATAAGCTCGGTTTGTTGCAGGCCGGCCAGAGCCTCTGATGGTAACCATATAGATAAAAACCACCAAACAAGCAAGCAAAACTATGAGAACGAGCATAGCAATGAGGTACAAAATAAGAAGCCATGGAATCCTCCAAAACCCTCCAATAAAACCCGCAAGAGCCACAATCAAAATCAGAACCCAAGATAATCACTGGCCATTGAAGAAGTTTTACACAGGAATTGTCTGGTTCTGTTGCTAGCCAGATTCCAGCACCGATGATGGGGATTGAAAGAAGCATTGCAACAAAGTTTATGCAACCAATAACATTATTGCTTAGTGCCATTTCTTTGAAGAAGGAAGAAATGCTAAGTCCTTTTTTTTTTTTTTTTTTTGGGGGGGGTTTGGCTGAGAAGAGTAAGGATGGAGGAAGAACAGGAAACTAAGTAGACAAGATAGAGATTTTGATTTGCAAGTCACTAGTACTAGTTTTTGTTCTTTTCCTTGGAAGGATGAAAGCTACTAAAGCAAATGAATCATAGATGTAAATAGGGTTATGAGCTCTTGGACCAAACGTTCAATCACTTTAGTTTAACTTTTTAAAAGGGAATAGTTGTAAAGAAAACAAAAGTAAAAGAAAGAAGAAATTCCTCTCTCATGAGTAGAAATAGAAACTTGTGCTCTGTCATAATGTTGGGTACAACGAAGACTTTGTGCTTCAGATGCCTCGGGCTCCATACACACTGTGGCATCTTTTCGCTGAATTAGATCTACGATTGCTTGGGGTAAAAAAGTTAATTATGCTAAAGAAAAGAATGAAGAACTAAAATCACCTGGCTCATATGTCTCTATCTTTGTATCCTACAAAAATATTTAAACGTAGTGCACTTCGATTGGTGAAATCCTTTACCTATAATTAAGAGGTGGAGGGAATAGGAGGAATAGGAAAAGCAAGGAAATGAAAAGATGTTTTGATTGAGTTTTTAGGAGGAAAAGGAAAGAATAGGGAAAGAAAGGAAGGGATTAAGTCTAATTATTTGTTGGGTTAATTACATTTACCTCCCCTGAGGTTTGACGAATCGATCCCTGAGATTTGACCAAATAACAAAAAGGTCCCTCAACCGTTAGTCTTTGCCGTTGACTGTTAGGGTTAATTACATTTACCCCCTTGAGATTTGATCAAATAACGAATCGATCCCTAAAATTTGATCAAATAACAGATTCCTCCCCCACACTAACTTCTGTCACTTATATGTAACGGAAATAGCCAAAAATCTAAATAACCCTTATTGATTTCCATCAAATTTTTAAGGATTAATTACATCTATCTCCCTTGTGGTTTGACCAAACTACTTTTAAATCCCTGTGTGTGGTAATATTACATGTACCTCCTTTTTAAGTAATCTCGTCAAAGACACTTAAATAGAAGTAATGAAATATCATATTTACCCTCTTTGTAAAACTTGTAGTTAGAGAAAACTTACCGTTAAAAAATCGAAGGTGGTTTCAATAATAACGAATTAAACTAAGAGTTTATTACTTAAATAAAACAGTTTTTTAACCAGTATAAAAGAAAAAAACCAAGCATGTAATAATCAAACTTGATAAAATATGCGCATAAAGGAACAAAAGAAAGAAAATGAAGAAAGAAGAAAAGCTTAGAAAACAAAAAAGAAATTAAAATGTGAAAAGCAAAGAAAGGAATGGAAAAAAAAAGTAGAGTGAAAAAAGGAAACCGACAATTGAGCGATGAAAGAAAATTTATAGAAGCAATGTAAAGGTTCACTCAATCCACCACAAAAATGAGACGGACATGATTTTCAAAAATGAGACCATTACCGGATTCTCAAATATCCTTTGACTACTTAATCGGCCATGACAAAGTGTTTTGTGCAGAAAAGCCTTCTGCTAGTTTGGTTTTACAATGGGTTACTAATAAATAGAGTAAAATGTCAATAGAAATCTGGTACTTCATTTATATAATATAGGAAAAGTATAAGGAGCTGGTACATTATGGAAAGAAAAAATGCGTACTACATTTTCAACCCTCTTATTCGCTAGAAATTTTAAATTTACTTTATCTTTTAAATAAATTATTTTTTGAAAAAATAGGTAATTTGTTCATATAATTGGGAAAAGTCGTAAAACACTGGTATTTTATGGGATAATGGGTATTACCCCATGTAATCCAAAATTTGTCACTCTATTTCACCAAATTACAAAATACGTGTATGGCAAATTTTGCATTACAAGGTCTATCAAAATTTACTATGATTTTATCTGTTAAATAAATTAATAATTTGTTGGATTCAAAATTTTATCTGTTAACCAAAATTTTTTTCTGAAAACACAAAAATCGATAGGTCAAAAATTTGATGGAAATCAATAAGGGTTATTTAGACTTTTGGCTATTTCCGTTACATATAAGTGACAGAAGTTAGTGTGGGAAGAATCTGTTATTTGGTCAAATTTTAGTGATCGATTCATTATTTGGTCAAATCTCAGGGGGTAAATGTAATTAACCCTAACAGTCAACGGCAAAGACTAACGGTTGAGGGACCTTTTTGTTATTTGATCAAATCTCAGGGATCGATTCGTTATTTGGTCAAACCTTAGGGGAGGTAAATGTAATTAACCCTTATTTGTTATGAGCCTGTATTCCGTTTAAAAGTAGACAGACATTGAGGGAAAATAAGCCATTAAACCAAGATCAATGAAAATGTTAAATTTTTTTTTGAAATATCCTTGTATTTTTTCATATTTATCATTAATGTAATTTATCTTTAATACAATCTCCACACTACCTTATAATCTAAACTTACTTTTTTAAATTATATCTGAAACCTCTAAATATTAGATATTTTATTAATATTTACTATTATTTAAAAGATTTGCTTTTTGTATTCTCGAGTTCTAATTTCTTCTCCTAAAAAAACTTCAAAATAAAAAATATTCGATTCATTTTGAAATACTATTATCTTTGAGATTTTCGTGAACATAAAAGGATGAATACAAATAAATCAAACTAAAAAGGAGAAAATAAACTAAAAGGAGGGTAAATTAGATTATGTTAAATTATGGGCAAATTCAAAAGGAAAACGTTAAAAACGTTGCTCATAGTTCGCTAAATGAATTGTTTTGTCTTTCACTTTTAAAATATTAACTTTACGTTCTTTACAAATTCAAATTAGCAATATTTGGTCCCAACCTAAGTTTCGAACCACTTTAAAATCTGAAACCACCACGTGACTCATATGCAGCCATTTTTTATTACAAAAAGGTCATATTCCACTTGTTTAGTAGCAAAAACGAATATAGATTGGATCAGATCCCATTTTTTGATGAAAATAAATATGATTCAGATTAAATCCTACTTTTTTACAAGTAAAAATAAATATGGATTGGATCATTTGTTTAACTACAAATTGGCTCTAACCTTTTTGCTCCTAGAAAAATGACCATATACGAGTTATGTGATGGATTCAGGGTAAAAGGTAATTGAAAACTTAGGTTAGAATTAAATTTTATCGATTTGATTTTATAAAGGATATAAAATTACTATTTTAGAAATGAAGGACAAAACAATTTATTAAAATGTGAGGAATGTTTTAAACAATATTCCAATTCGTAACAAACACAGTGATTCCTACCCTGATCCAATCAATACCTTTAGTGTTTTTTTTGAATTAATTTTTTATACACTGACAGTGTATATACGTTTACCATTATATGCATGACATGTAATCGAATTTGAATTTGAAACTCAAATTTTACATATGTGTTTTATATCTAACCATAATAGTGTATATACCGTCATCGTATATAAAATTTACTATTTCTTTTTTCCTTCCATATCCGATCTAAACAAGACAGTTAGAATCCGCTTGCTCTTCTCATTCTTTTTCACTAGAGTCACTTCCTTCCTTTTTCTGCCCTTTCTTTTTCTTGCAAGGCCACTACTATTTGCTTTTCCTAAAAGAATTCTTCATAAATATGTAACTGTACCCTTAAAATAGAGGAATTTAACAAAAAACATATCATTTAACTCATTTGTTGCACAAATAAAAAAATATATTGAAATAGAAGAGGCGTGCAATGAATGTCCTTAACTTGTAAGGTTTTCAAACTGTCCTTAATTTTTGAACGTCAAAAATTTTATACACGTGACATGCATTCTGCATGTATATTTACCTTTAGTGTAAGAATGATTAATTCATATATATATATATATATATATATCTTCTTTTTAGCATGAACTACATCAACAAGAACATCAAACATGTACTTTCTTTTTTCTAAAAAGAATTAACAAAGGAAATATTTGTAGAAGGATTGGGCCTAAGCTGAAATATAGTTACAAGCCCATCAGTTTGGCAGCCTGGTCTCTTGTCAGCCCAAACCAAATTAATTTGCATGATCTGCTTTGGGAATTGAGAGGTTATCTTTCAACAGAAAAATCTCTGGAAACCATCTTCTCCGACGGTTCCTTCATTCAGTCAGCACTCAGCAGCAATGGCTGCAATTGAAGCAGCAGCATTCTCCATACTTTCTTCTTCCTCTTCGCTCCCGTCAACTTCCCCTAAATGCTCTTTGCACTTCCTTAAACTTCCCATTTCCACCTGTGCCCTTCCTTTTTCCTCGAAACGCCCACTATATCCCCTCCCTCCACTGCACTCCGCAAGAAAACCAAGGTTCCAAATATGCTCAACCTCCACAATTGAAGAAGTTGTTACAGTAGAAGAAAAAACAGAGCCATCCGAAGAGAAAACAGAGTCAGCCCCACAAACCAATCAGAAAAGAAAGCTTTTTGTGCTAAATTTGCCATGGTCCTTCACCGTTGCTGATATTAAGAACCTCTTTGCTGAATGTGGCACTGTTACTGATGTTGAGGTACTTCCATGAGTGGGATATTTCTGTTAAAGAACTTACTTTGGATGAATTTGTTGAAGTTGAAGAAGTGATTTTAGTTGGTGGTTCTTTTTTCTTTTGGGTCTGAATTTGTTATTGAAGTGAGATTAAATCGTGGGTTTTGTTTGTCCTGCATAATTTGTTAATGAAGTTATTTTTGAATGGTGGGTCCTGTTTATCTCGATGAATTTGTTAAAGGAGTCATTTTGAATCGTGTTTTCTGTTTTTTCTTGGATGCATTTGTTGAAGAAGTGATTTTGAGTAGTGGTTTTTGTTTTTCTTGGATGTGGCAGATTATAAAGCAGAAAGATGGTAAAAACAGGGGCTTTGCATTTGTGACAATGGCTTCTGGGGAAGAGGCTCAGGCTGCTATTAAGAAATTTGACTCTCATGTGAGTTGTTTTGGAAACTAAATTTTCTGATTATTGTCTATTATCAGTGTCCTTTAATGGTTTACTAGATGTATAGCACAATGTGTTTGTTATCAGAGTCGAAAGGATAAGGAAATAATTGTGATTGAGGGTGGAATGAGTGTGTATTTGCGCAAAGTGATGGGTAAGAGTATTGGAGCAATTTTGTTGATATTTACATATCTGACTTCCAATAATGTGAGAAAATGGTAGTTTTGCTTCGTTAGTCAATGATATTTGAATCTTTAAGGTGTAATTCTAGCTGCATATAAGATACTCATCTATAGCTGGATTTGATGAGTTGTGCCTTCATCTTAAGTTCTAAAATTGTATTTGTGTGATGCATGTTATATATATAAAGCAAATGAAAAGTCTAATAAGAGGAAAAGAAAGATGAGAAAGGAAAACTTTTGTTGGATACTGTTGGGCAGAAAATAGGACAGAACACAATTACAGATCATGGATACACATCTTTAACCTCGCACCCCCCCCCCCCCCCAAAAAAACACCAGAGAAAGTTATTTCCTTGTCACCCCCTTGCAAAATACTTGAAGAATGTTGATAAATATTTTCCCTTGATATCCCTTCTTTTCTCCACAAGTTTTCCATCCAAATGATATTAATATTCTCATCTCCGGAGACTTGTGAATACTGATATAATTTTCCTGGTTCAAGTGAGAGACTGGTAATGTTTGTCAAAAATTACGTAATGTAAGATATATCTTCAAATCTGCAGAGGCTGTAAACCATCAACATTGCTTTTGTGCTGGCTATCTTAAGGAAACATGCTGATTATTTTTAATCGATAATGGTTTTCTTATTGACTGTCAACTATGAATTTAAATTGTTCTTTCACTTTTCACTGGAGCAATGACCTTCTAAGCTCTAAAGAAATGAATTCTTATTTACTTCTTTCTGATTAAAGTCCAATATCATCTATATTTCAAATGGCTATGCAAAATTTTTTTAGGAAAAATCGCATTGAAAACATCCAACCTAATTGATAACAACTATTATTTTTGATAATTTTCCTTTAGTACTCGATGTCTTTAGTCATTTTGCCAGGGTATACCATGGGATACACTAATTACAACTTTTTACAAGTTTGAATTCTTTGCTTGTGACTTTATGTCAATGAAAAAAGGGATGTATAAAGGGCTATCTTTAAGTGATCTAGTAGCATAATGTACAGCGAGGAAATATAAATGTGGGGAGTCCTTGGAAATCCTTTGCTGTCTTAATTTTCTTGAGGAAGATGTACCAGTTGGCACTGGCCTGGGGTTTTTCTGCCTGGCAAGTTCTACAAGTACTCTGGTTGCTAAAGGTGATTCTTCCGTGCTTCAGCAATAAGTCCCCTTTTTCATCTGTCCTTCCATTTGAACATGGTAATAAGCATGACTAAACCTTCAGGAAGTAGATTGTAAGAAACTACAAATGAGGGTATAGATTTGTAGCAAAAATAGAAGAAATGATCAATACTATAAGGATAGGGAATGACAAAGAATATGCGTGCACGCCCATGCATCTTCTGCTAACTGAATTGTGGCACTCTAAGAGGGTATGATAAAGGCTTTTATTGTGTCTTTGACAAAGTGTCAATCACTTCAAGGCTGCAGCTTATGATTGGTGGTAAGCCGCGTTGATGATTTCATCAAAGACCTTCTTCAGAATAGAGAGCAAATTCCTGAGGATTCAAGGTGGCCATCATTGTGCTTGGTTTCTTTTAGTTGTAATATTTTTGAGCAGGGGCTTTGAAGAAAGTAGTATTTTAGGGGTCGAAAGATTTCTGTGTAATTATTTTGTCTTCGTTAATGTTATAAATGACACCAAGTAACCTTCAAAAGAAGATATATTTGCTCATTGACCTTGAGAAAGACTGAAGGCAAATACACGCCTTTCCCCATTTCCTTTGGTGTTTCTGTTTGAATATATATGTGTTCATGAGTTCAAACAGAAGAAAGATCTCTAACAACATCTGTCCCAGTATTTTATTTATGTTATGTTTTGTGGCACAGGAATTGTCTGGTAGGATTATCAGGGTAGAGCTTGCAAAGAGATTCAAGAAACCCTCACGTTCACCTCCTGAGGTTCCTTCCCGTGGTGAGACCCGCCATAAGCTGTATGCATCCAATCTTGCCTGGAAGGTGAGGTCTAGCCACCTGAAAGAATTCTTCTCTGCCTACAGTCCAGTTTCGGTTAGGGTTGTCTTCGATAGTCCTTCAGGACGATCTGCTGGGTATGGTTTTATCTCATTTGCCACAAAGGAGGAAGCAGAAGCTGCAATGTCTTCTTTGGAGGGCAAGGTATTAACAATAAACTATTTCTGCTTCTATTGGTTGACTTTCTTTCAGCTGACTTGACAATGGGGTTCACAGAATTGTTTGGTGTGGAAACAATTATTTTTTTGTGACATAATTTTATGCATGTCTACAGCCTTCAAAGAACTCCATCTTCTCCAAACTGCATATCAGTTTGTCTTGGTACAATCCTCTAGCAGAGAGTGGGCATGTATATCGGTAGCTCATGGTAAGTTAGAAAGATGTTAGAATCAATATCAGGAACACAAGTAATTTGATTATTTGAGACGTTGATTGGGATATCCAAATATTGGAAACTAAAGATCTAAACTAGAGGAGTTTTAAGTATGCATGTGCAGGATTTGAAATGGAGAGTATGATGTACTTAACTAAAGGGATTACTGATGTAGTTAAGAGTTAGTAGTTTCATTGGTGGATGGTAGGAGTGTATAAGGTGATCATGTCTTCAAGGAAGGAATAACAAGTGATATTTAGCTTTTAACATGACGAGTTGGATGATGTTCAAGATACCCAAACTTGGTTTTATCTTCAAGTATTATTGCACCCTTTTGTGCATCTCACTGTTACAGATTTTGTAGATACCCAACAATACACTTGAATAACAAGTGGTACTTACTTTTTATTGCAATCTTTTGTACTCGCTGCTAAAGACTTTTTACATATCCAACAGTCTACAGAAATTCCATGAGCCAATGCCTATTGAGCCTACTAAGCGTAGCACCTTCTCTAAATTTTGTACAAGGCTGTCGAAGTAACCCTAGTATGTGTATTACATAATTTATATATTTCAATATAGAGTGTACCTGAAGGACGTTGGGTTCTTCAGTAAATAGCCAATTAACCATCACAAACAGATTGTCAGATTGAACAACTAAGTAGTGGATATTAGGAGCATGGACACTCCTTTTGGGTCTGTGTATGTTGAGAAGCATCAAGTGGAATTAGCATTTTGAAAGATGATGTCAAAAGGAAGAAGAAACTGATTTTGGATGTATTTCTGGTCGTTTTAGTGCATTAAGTGGGGCCAGGAGTAAAAAGAGGAATAAACTAGTGTATATGCTTAGCATTTTATTAGAAGGTTTTGCTAAGTCCTGAAGTTGATGAGAATACACGTTTTCTATATTCTAATTGTGCACAATCTGCACATCTCATGGCAGAAATCTTTGGGTACATAAACTTTTATGCAGTGCAAATTGTAGAAATATGGACTTTGGGGATATGCTTTTGGTCCCTGCTTGTCTGATAATAACCCTTACTGAGAGTTCTGCTTACTGGAGATTCTTCATAGAGAAACTCACTAGCTTTCAACATTTCCAATGATTTGTATTAAGGGTTACACCTGTAATTGTTTATGAAATGGTATCTTACTGGCAAATTAGTTTTATTCACCTCTATGCTTTCATTTCATTTTCCTTGGTAATTTTATAGTGCTCAGATTACAGTTTTATTGCTGCTAATCTTCACTTCCCTCCAATGTATATACATCTGCAACACTGGCAGGGTGATCAACAATTGTCTCTCCGTGTGAAACATGATTCTTTGGCATGAATTCTTTAATTCTATGTAACACATTAATTTATGGTGTTAATTCTCTATGCTCTACATAATTTTTTGGCACGAGTTCATTACATTATTTGTCATCTTCGATTTCCATTTTGTAGGAGCTGTTGGGCAGACCTATAAAATTGAAGTTCAGTCAAAAGAATGATGACGAATCTGAAAATGAAGTGGAAGAAACGACCGAGGAACAACCTGCGGATCAATAGCTTCACACTGATTCTGGCTTTGATGATGGTGCTTGCAGACAGAAGAGGAAAATTACAAGTTAAGTTGATGTTCTTCCTCTTATCCTGTATATGAGCAGCCAGGAGCACCATCATCTACGTTTTTGCATTTCCTTAGATTATACTCTGTAAGTACTCAAGCTAGCAGTCTGTAATGGCCTTCGTCTGTTGTATGATATTCTCCCTGCAGATTTTACACTATACAGTCTTAGCAACGTAGAAATTGTACAATCATGAATCTTGTGGCAGCTCAATACTAGGCACATAGTTTGTGTACACAAATATGATTGTGAAATCTCCATAGCAATTACTTGCAAATAAATGAGACTTTTCTTACTTTAGCCTTGGTGAATCCTAGAAGTTCCATTGATATGCTATTGTGAGGCAATGAAAAGATAGCCAGTGAGTTGACCTATTTTTCCCAAAAAAAAAAAAACACAAATACAAGGTGTAAGGACTTCAAATCAATTGTTTAAATTTGGTTTGAAGAAACCAATAATTTCAAAATTCGACCTCCGAATGGGGTGGTAAGTTGAATGATGCCTACGATCTTTTTTTCCATTCGATATGCAAAAGACCGAGGCATCAAACATCGAGTCATGCTAAGTTCAAAACCAATCAAGTTTAATTCATTTTTTTCTTTCAAGGACTTAATAAAGCAAAGTGAAAAGTAGTGGAAATGGATATAGGGAAAATGATCGGTTTCATCCTTCACATTTCACAAAAATATTCTTTTCATCCCTCACTTTTAAAATAAAGCAATTTCGTTCTTGACATTTAAAAACTAAAATTATTACATTCCTGAACCTAAATTTCAATTTAAATCAAATCACCAATCAACCTGATTACAAATTTTTGGGGTGTAATTGGTAGATCACTTGGTTAACTCAACTTGATATTCATGTAAAATTTAATGAATCTAAAAAGAAAAAATTATAATATAAAAAAGAAAGATTAATCTTTTCTACATTATCATTGTATATACTGACGGTTTTATGTACCGCCATATCATTTTAATTTAAATTTAAACACCAAATTTTATATTTATGATACACATCTAGATTCGCAAACGGATATACTAACGGTGCATGAAAAGATTTATATAAAAAAAAAAACTCTACTATTCCAAGACAAAGAATGGCCTTTTATGTTATAATTTTTATTTTTTTGGTTTAATAAATGCCATGTGAATACGATGAAATTGACCGAATGATCTATCAATTCTATTTTCGAAATTTATTACTGGGTTATTGGATGGTTTGATTCAGATTGAAAATTAGGTTCATGGATGTAATAGCTTTAATTTTTAAATGTCAGGGACGAATTTGCTTCATTTTAGAAGTGAGAGATGAAAAGAATATTTTTGCGAAATGTGAGGGATGAAACAGGTCATTTTCCCATGGATATAATACAAGATCTAAGTACAAAATTTGGTTTGTTTTATAAAGATCTATAGAGTTATAAACACAAGAAATGTTCCCCTAGATATTTTTTGCAAATGTGACCCAAGTGTGGGTGTGCAAACGAGTCGGGTCAAGTCGAGTTTTAACCTAATCGAACTGAGTCTCAACTTAACTTTAAGAAACTCAAACTCGACGAGGTCAAAATGTCAAGTTCGAGCTTAAGTTTAAAAAAAATAATTATTTTTATTTTTTAAAAATAAATAAAATAATAATTTTTCTTAACAAATAATAATATATTAGGGATATATATGTAATTTTACTATTAAAATAAATAAATAAATATATATAATCGAGTTTGTGAACTAATGGGTTTAATATTTTTGAACTCGAGTTCGACTTGATCGACTCAAGCTTGGACTCGAGCAGCTTCGGAGCAGTTCAATTCGTTTGCAACCCTACTTGAGAGTAGGCATGTATCCTTGTAGGGTAGTTGTGGGATCATACATATATATATACTCACACACACATGGAGGGAATTAACACTTGCAGGTTGATGGATGTAATTATTTGGCCTGTCGCAAGCGTGAAGGACAACAAATTCAGAAAACTGGACGAAGATATGCATTGTCCTTGTGGGTTCTGCTTATATTGTTTGTTTATGGATAAACAAATCTTGGTGGGATATACATTGTCTCAGAGAAACAGAAAAGAGAAAACTTTCTTGGAGTTTATATAATATATATACACATTTTGGAACATAAATAAGCATATGAGCTACCAAAAGAACAAGGGTTGGTCAAGATAAACAGTCACCCTTTCTCCCCACCCTTTCTTTTACTTTTTAAAGTTACTGGGATGTGTTTCTGCGTAGGAGTGAATAAATTCTTGATTTTAACGCCAATCATATTCTTGACTGATTTTGATTCGAGTCTCGAGTTACCAAGAAAGAGACCTGATTGACAGGAATACTCCAGCCCATCATATTCTTTATATATATATAGGGGATAATTGCAGAAACCTCCCCTGAGTTTTATGGTAATAGCATTGACCTCCCCTATGAAGTTTAAAATAGCAATCACCTCCCTAAAAAAAGACTGACACAATTTAATACATTCTTCATTGTCAATTTACTAAAATACCCTCACTAAAATTTAATTTTACCAAAGAATGTGATGACTTAAACCTAGTAAAACGTTTGTCATTTTGATAATTGTAGTTTACACTAAATTAACTATTTATGCATAGTTTAACTAAATAACTAAATAACTAATAATCTAATTAATTAATTAACTAATTATCTGTTGACATAAATAACCAATTAACTTTAGATGCTTAACTAATTATCTAATACACTAAATTTTTTTTTTTTTAAGTAATTTGTTAAATAGCCTGCCTGAAACCCGCTTGCGGGTTTCCCCTTTATGTAAAATGACTAAAAGCTGCGTTTCTGTTCTATTTATATCAAACACATACTCTCAAACCCTCACCTGAAGGGTGAGGATGAGAGGGGAGGTTTTGCTGGGCATCCTAGGGCCCTCCGATGGGCATGTGCAACTCAACGCAGCTTGCATGTAAAAAAAATTTTTTTTTTTTAAGTAATTTGTTAAATAACCTGAAACCCGCTTGCGGGTTTCCCTCTTTTTTTTTTTTAAAATAAATTCTATGCTAAAATGACTTAAAACAAAAATAAAAGACTAAAAGTAAATAAAAACTAGCATGAAAAATAAAAATAACAGTAAATAAAAATACACTAAAAATTTGGTGTCTACAGTAGTTAATGAATAATCTGGAAACAGATTGAATGAAGACTCAGAAGAAACGGAAGCTGGTCTCTTATTATTAAAGAGTGAAGGCTAAAATAGGCATATCAGGTGAAAGTTTGTGGTGGAAATCTGTTTTTCGCATATGCACGCGCCTTTGCAGTTCGTTTAAGACACACGCCGAATATTTGACGATTTCCGTCCACTTTTCAGGTTAATTCAAACCACGGGGTATCGACTGGTATGATATGAAACCACAAGGGGTTTTTATGTATGATTGCCTAACCACAGGGGGCTTTTTTGTTGTTTACCCAAAAAAGTATAATTTGTTGGGGTTGTTTTCAGACTCAGAAATCTTCAATGTTGCCTTTCTATTGCACCAGCAATATTTGTTTTGTATTGTGAAGGATGTAGGAGAGTTCCATGATGTTCTCCTGTGGCTGGAAGAAGCCATTTTCTGATTTCTGCAATATGACTTGAAACTGCCAAACTGAGTATCAAGCAAGCTGTGTTTTGAGCTGGAAAATTGCTGCTGCATACATGAGTCCAGATTCTGGTATTCATTTTGCTACTGACCATCGTTTATAAGCTAGTGCCTTAGTTACATCAATTAGCCGTTAAGTAGCCGTTGGTTTCTCAGCAAATGAAGTTGTTGTAGGTCATCATCTGGAAGCATGTTGTTGCATTTATACCCCCTGAACTTCCTTGTGCTTAATGAAAAAGCCCCTCCCTTGTTAATACTACTTGTCAACCAACATCAGGGCAAATTTGGAACAAATTTTTTATCTCACTTGTACAGCTAATTTTTTAATGGGAATTGAAGCTGCCTGGACTGATTTTGCAACTTAATGTTCCTGTTGAGGGGTGCTATCTGCCATTTCAGAACTTAGAGGGGAGCTCAGTGCAACTGTCAGTAGTTTCAGGGGAGGTTTCTGCAATTTTCCCTATATATAGTTGCTGATTAAAAAAATTAGTGCTTTAACCAAAAAGGAAAAAAAAATCAGTCACCATGATTCATCTCAACAAAAGCTAGTTAGCTATAGGAAGAGACAGAGTAGGTCATTTTTTAGATAAGTTAAGGAGTAAAAGTACTGTAGAAGTGATTGATTGGTCAAAAAAAAAAAGAATATATGCCCTGTGTTAAGTGGCGTTTACTCTTCTTCCCATTTATAGGATTCTCGGACCTATAGGACTATGATGCCCCTTGGAAAATGAAGGTGACGAATCATTTGACATATTCAGATTTTTCTATCATGCTATATCCTACGTTACCTAGATCCTCATCTTTTCCAGATACACTGCACGGGTAGCATATAGTCATATAGTACCAAAATTTTGTTGTTTTTTCAAGGGAAAATCAGCTAGTTTGTCTCCAATTTTCAATCGTGCTGAATAGAACATTCCCCTTTAAATCATTCTCCCTCCTCTCTTTTCTTTCTTCTTTTTTCTTTTAAAAATTTGTTCTGTATTTTTGATCAGCTAGCTTTTATTTGTCTATTTATTCATTTATGGACACATTTGGTCATCTAGCTTTGAATGATACTCTTTTTTTTTTGGGAAAGATAGCTTTGAATGACACTGATACCCTACTGATCTTTTATCTAGTTCTGCAAAGTCGGGCAGGTTCAAGTCTTGCAGCTGACTATGATTTCAATCACTGGTTCAGGTAGATCTAACTTGATGGATGGCTGCAATTCAAATCAGATTTCGATGTCTCACATCAATACAGTTTCTGTTGTTTCAACTTTCTATTTGTCGGTGAAGATATGGTAAATTGTGTCAATTTCACATCTTTATCTTTATGGAAAAAGGGCAACTGTCTCGCTCTGAATACACATGCAATGTGATATTCATTCAGCTACTTCACTTTGGCTAGTGGCCTCTTGAACAATGATATAAAAGCATTGATTACTTTGATGAATTCCCAACCAACATGACCACCCTAGCTCTTTGTCAACAAACCATTATCTGAAAAAAAGTTAAACAAAGGAATTAATAAAGAAAAGAAAAGAAAAGAAAGAGGAAAAGAAAATGGACTATAACCAATCAAAGAACAGTCTTCCTCGGCTTTCTATCCAAGCTGCTTTTTTCTGCTTTTCCACCTTCAGCCTTCAGCTCATATTTTCAACAAATGTCCCATCAGAGCACTCTCTCTTATTCTTCATACTTGATACTTGC